CAAGAGCAAGCAGAACTTGACTAGCAATGGAAAGTGGCTTCTGGCAGAGGGAACAGCTACCACAAAGTCCTAGGGTATTAAAAACAAACAAACTGTAAGCTCCAGTAATTTGAAGGTGGGGGGTCAGTATGGTTGGAGTGAAAGCTGGGACATAATATTCGAGAGAAAGATCATGCACAGCCTTGTACAGTTCATGATAAAATTTGTTTTGTCCTAATTGAATTGGTAGAGGATATAGCATGTAAACTAAATATTTAAGAATGGGTCAGTTTGGGTCATGCAGAAGTGAAGGGTTACTGGAGAGGGAGAGAGAGAGAGAAAGAGAGGGAGAGAGAGAATACTAAATGACATATGGCATTTTTATTCAATTAGTAGATACTCATAAAAAACCTAGATGAGAGACGTGGAAGGCTTTAATGTTGCTCATACATAGTAATCACTCAATAAATATTAGTTCTTATTAAGGCAACTGCTTTTAAAACAAAATAAAATAGCTTTTGATAGGTGTAAAATATTATACTTCATACAGAGGCAAACTTTCTCTCCTCTTAGCTCTTGAAGCATGTCCTATAGACCCTGCATAAACCAGCTACATTCTATGGTGCATTGTGATTATTTAGGGATAAGTGTGGCTTGGCAATGGACTTCAGGCTCCTGAAAAACAGAGACTAGAAAAGATATATTTCTGAATCTTTTACACCTCACCTTCAGTTGGCCCTTAACAAATATGGGCTTCTTTCTGCAGGTGTTCAGTTGGTTCTGAACCCAAAGCACCCCAGATTAAGGGTTTTTAACTCCTTTGAGATTTGACAGAAGTAGTAAACTTAAGCTTTTGAGGCAGCGGCAGATGGCTCAGAGTCCTGCACAAGTAGGTTTAAATCTTATCTTTATTTAAGGAAAGGGAAGTGGAACCCCCATTTCGTCACTGAACATTTATCTATATTTCTTGTCTATTTATAGAAAAAAGGTGGTTTACTTACTTTTTGGTTTGTCTTTTCCAACTTCTTAAGCCCAAACCTGTATGAAGTAACCTACAAAATCTAAAGTCAGGCTGGAGACTGGAAAAGTTATATTCTTTAGAGGTTCTAAAGCTGGGGTCCAGGTGTGGACACTTATGAAAGAGATTGGCAAAAAGGGATTTTATGAGTTCAGTGCAAAATTTTGTGGGCATTTTTGTAAGTATATGTTTCATAAGAAAGAGGGTCTATAGTAATTGTTAGGTTCTAACAAAGGTCTGCAACTCTAAAAATATGACCCAACACTCACCAAATCATCGTGTTGGGAAGACTAAAAAGGAACCATCACATGTCTCATCACATGCCCTTGGGAAAAGGTTCCATTCTAGTATCACTCAAGATCGACAATCGGGAAGTTCTTTCTTAAGTCTACACTAATCCTTTGGCACTTCTTCCCCATGCAAGCCCTTGGTAAATTTAGTGGAAATAGCAAACAGCTGCTCACCAACACCCACCCCAAAGAAAGAACAAGACATTTCTCACATATCTCAAGCTGCCTTAAATGTTCTTTCTTTGGCAAAGAAGAAAAAAAAGAAATATATTTTTGGCCTCTAAACCTTTTCCCACCCGTGTGTATTTCTGTAGAAATGTTATCCATATGGTTCCAATTGCTTTCTCCATAAGTCATTAGGAATGCTTTGCACTGAGAACTTTTCTGATGACCAGGAGTCTTTGGAGACTTTTTAAAATGGCTCTCTTAGCCTTTCTTCATAGAAACAGGGAAGCTAAACATAGCCAAATGCAAATGAACTAAGACCTGGAAAGGTTGGAGTTTTATTCAAAACTCAGAAGTCATAAGGCTTGGGTGAGTTTTAAATCTGCCCATGCAAAGCCTTCACCTCCTCCTCCAAGGACAAGAATTGATAAATACTCCATTGGTAGAGAGAATGCAATGGTCTCAGCCACTTAAGTTGATATTTAGACTTAAATGTGATGACCCCATTAAATTCTAAGGTCTTCCAATCACCCCGAGACTTCCCCCATGACTTGCAGAGGACAAAGTGAAGAGTTTGGACTTAGATTTGGGTGTGGAATTCCTGACTCCATCACCTACTAACTAGCTATACCTTGGCATGCTGCTTACATTTTCCAAGCTCTATTTTCCCATGTTGTAAAAATGGGGTCATATTACCTAGCTCAGACCTCACAGCATTTTGAGAATTATAAGAGATCTTTTAGGGAAGACCCAGATAAAATGTCTGGGGCATGGGGAAAGTAAAAAATTCTTCTTCTCTTTCTCACTGTCTAATAGTGGTTGGAACTGGGGTGGTGATGGGAGGTTCTATGCATCCTGAGGGAAATATTGACTATGTGGATTGGAGGAGAGAAAGATAGGAAAGTGTTCCAGAGTGTTATGCCCCCTCTTTCTAAGTCATCAAGGCCACAACCCATTTGGGAGATTGATTAAGAGTGAAGAGCTACGAGGAATGAGTCCATACTTTGGTTGTCCTCTGAAGCTGCCCAATGAGGTTGTTTCAGCTGATTTCAGAATGGCACTCCCAGCAGGTCTCCTGTTGTCTACTCTCACTCAAGGAGGCATCTCTGAGCTGAAGAATGATGGAGGAACAGAGAGAAAGGGAGGGAAGAATAAAAGAAAGGGTAGAGAGGAGAGAGAGAGAGAGAGAGGAAGAAGAAGAGGAAGAGGAAGAAGAAGAAGAAGAAGAAGAAGAAGAAGAAGAATGAAGAAGAAGGAGGAGGAGGAGGAGGATGAGGAGGAGGAGAAGAAGAATAAGAGGAGGAGGAGGAAGAAGAAGGAGAGAATGAAAAAAGGAAGGAGGAGGGAACAGGAGACAGCAACCTGAAGCTTCATACTGTAAAGGATGGGAAATGCAGTGTGTGTTGTGAATGTTTTTCTTTGTGGTTCAAATAAAAAACAGAACAGTCTTGGGAACACTGCCCAGGATGTGACCTGGGCAAGAAGCCTAGGGAAGGAAAAAACTGTCCAAGCAGAAAAGTAGAAGTTTCCACCAGGCAGCTTGGTCAGTGGCTGGAGAGCTGTCCGTGGTGCTGATTGCACGTCCTAAGGATTAAAGTAGAGGGGGAGACTCTAATAAGAGATTTGGACAGGCTACTGTAGCTCTCCTCTTCTCTGCCCACCCCCTCCCCCCGTTTTTAGTCCTGCAGTACTGAGACCCAGGCTCATTATGATTAACACATTCTTTCTCCCCTTTCTCTCTTTTTCCCTTCCCTCCTTGTCAATTAATTTTTCCCCTTAAGTTTTCAATTCCTCACTCAAGAATTTATTTTCCATTTTGTTTCAAGACTTCTCTTCTGGGGCGCCTGGGTGGCTCAGTGGGTTAAAGCCTCTGCTTTCAGCTCGGGTCATGGTCTCAGGGTCCTGGGATCGAGCCCCGCGTCGGGCTCTCTGCTCAGCAGGGAGCCTGCTTCCTCCTCTCTCTCTCTCTCTGCCTGCCTCTCTGCCTACTTGTGATCTCTGTCTGTCAAATAAATAAATAAAATCTTTTAAAAAAAAGACTTCTCTTCTAATTAGTTCATGCGCCCCTAGATCCTTCTAGGGCCCCCTAGTATCATGTCTCTTTCCTAACACCCCTTGAATAATCGTAACATTAATAACAAGAACAATAACAATTACAGATAACATGCTTTGGGCACTCACTAGGTGTCAGGGAGTATTCTAAGCGATTTCCCATAAATTAACTCATTTATATCTTACACCAACCATGCTAGATAGGTAGTTATATTATTCTATTACATAGATGGGAAATTGAGGTTTGAGAGGTCAGTAATTTGGACAAGATCACAGACAGGATTCTAACCATCTAGAGCTGACACTTCTACTGAATCTGTGTTCCTTTAAATTTCTCATCACCTTTTCCTTACTGCTCCGTGCCCCTCCATCCAGTAGCTTCACTGATGTTATCTATCCTTGCCTAAGCTTCCAGAGACTAGCAATCTTCATTGCTGATTTTTTAAATTAGAAGAAGAAGGAGGAGGAGGAGGAGAGGAAGAAGAAGGAGGAGGAGGAGGAGAAGGAGAAGAAGAGGAAGAGGAAGAAGAAGAAGAAGAAGAAGAAGAAGAAGAAGAAGAAGAAGAAGAAGAAGAAGAAGAAG